CAGTGTCAAAGGCTCACTTTTTTGTTCAGTGTCATGCAAACTGCATGAAGCAAAGCTCTCTAAAGCTACTTAATTTGATTTTTAAAAAACAAGATAGGTTTAATGTAATAGCTGTTCAATAGGCCTGAGTAGTCAATCAGGGATTCTTGATATTCTTGATAGATGAGTTTGTATGTGCTTCTAAGCTCCTGGGCAGAGAAAGGAGACAACATCACAGGAATACCAGTTACGAAAGATTAAAATTACAACAGTAATGCAAAATACAATTGTTATAAAATAGATTTGAACAATAAAGAAATCTGTGGACTACATCCACTTGCCTCCCTAAAGGGAATTTTGTTCTTATAAGATGACATGCACACCACCACATTCTGTTTTACGCAGATAAACATTTCATACAGGTACACACAGAGCATACATGTGCTTAAACATATTTTTACATTTATGAGATCGTTAATTACACATGGTTCTAACACACACTTTAAAACCTTTTTAAAAATTTTTTGTGTAACATTCTGCACTGCTGTTTATAACAATTCCATAATATTCTATATCATGACCTATTATTTGAAGCCTCTCTTATTGATTTATATTTATATTGTTTCTACATGTTTATAGAAACAAAAAAGTGACAAAATTAAAAACAGAAACACTGCATGTGTGTTTAACAACAAGATATTCTTATAGGAAAGGTTTCTTAGTATTGTAATTAGTGTGCATGAACATTTTGAGTTTTAAGGTCAGGTGGTTAATGATTAATTTCCTTGTAGAAATAATTTAAATTCACTGCTTCACCAGCATTTTATCAAATTCCTAGCTTCTCTGTATTTTAAAAATTTTGCAAAAGAGTGAGAAAAACAAAATTCTTATTGTTCATATTTGTTTTTTCAAGTAACAGTGAACATTATATAAATAATGTTAATAAATATAATAAACATATATTAAAGATATTTGTTGTCTCATCCATGTCATTTATAGATCTACATCTAATTTGCCTGTGTGTAATCATTGCTTGTTTTTTTGTTTTGGATTATGTACTCTGGATACCAATCTTCTGTTGGTTAGGTGCAAATTTTTCTCCAAATCTTTCAGATATATTACATTTCATTAATAGTATTTGTATTTACATAAAAATGTTAATATCTAACATGTTTTATTTGCACAAAGAATGCAGTAAATGGAACATAATGAAATTACCTAATACCTCTGATATAACTTCTTTAAAATCTTTTTTTTTGTAAGACAAACTCTTTCTCATAGGTATCTTCATAGTAGTAAACAATATGTTTATATCTTCAAGTTATGGCTTGACTATATTGAACATGTTGAGACATCATAGCTCACTTACATGATTTCCATTTTTATTTATTTCTTTGTTTCCCAAAGTTAAATTGTTATATCAAGGATTTAGTAGTTTCATGCGTGTTTTTGTTTACTATAAATACTTAAACCTTTATTTTGTTCTTTTGTATTTTGATTCTATGTATGTATGGTGACGGTATTAGTATTCTTTTTCTTTCTTTCTTTCTTTTTGATATGGAGTCTCCCTCTGTCACCAGGAGCACAGTGGTGCCATCTCAGCTCATCCAAGCTCCGCCTCCCAGATTCAATTGATTCTCTTGCCTCAGCCTCCTGAGTAGCTGAGACTACAGGTGAGCATCACCAAGCCCAGCTAATTTTGGTTTTTGTATTTTTAGCAGAGATGGAGTTTCACCATGTTGGCTAGGATGGTCTCAATCTTTTGATCTCGTGATTTCGGCTCCTCAGCCTCCAAAGTGCTGGGTTTACAGGTGTGAGCCACCGAACCTGGGCTCCCTATTAGTATTCTTATGTGCTTAAACTTTTTTATGGCTCTCCCACTGATAACTACCCATCAATGATGTCTTTATGTTTACATTCTCAAGACTTTACTATTTTCAATATATTCTGGAATCATTATCAAGATTCCTGAGCTTTGTTCATCAGTTAATTCCAAAGGTGAGAAACACAAATTTATTATGTTTATTATACATCCATATAATACTTGTTTCTTTTGGGCCAAGTAATTAAGCATAGATTAACCTCTGCAATTCAAAGGCCAAGGTAATAGCATCAACGTCAAAAGACTTTCTTATTCCTTGTGTCAATCACATAATGCTATGTTATATTTTAGTTTGCTTTTAGTTTTAGTTTAGTTTACCTTAAGTCTCTAAATTAATAATTTAAAAAAGTGTTTGCCTCAATTTTTCATCTATCTACTATATTCGGTACTTCCTCTCTTCATACTAATCTGCATCCGTAGAATCTTGGTATGCTTCAGAACTATGAAGCATTGACCTCTCTTCACCACCTCCTTGTTTTCTCCAAGTATTTCTTTCTTGTTTTTCATTTTTTGAAGTACATGATGTCATATTTTTAATAGAAAATATAAACAAAAAACTTTCGGCTGTCCTTGTATGTCTGCAAATGTTTTCTTGTTTTCTGACACTCAGTTTGCAATTTGAATGACTACATTTCTGGAGTGAAAATTATTTTTTCTCATCCCTCTGAAGGCCTTCATTGTTATACTCAGTGTTACTAATGGGAAATCCGGTGAAATTGCAACTACTGGTCCTTTGAAATGAATTGATTTATATTTGTTCCTATTTCATAAAAAATTAGAGTCCACTTGTCTTTGGAATGCTATATTTCCCAAGGACAAGTTTAATGTAGTTAATTTATTCTGTTTATCATTGGATGAGTCATTTACATTTGAAATTCCATGTATGACTAACTGAATTTTTTTCTTAAAATTTCTCTAATAATATATTTTTCCTCTTCATTCTCACATATCTTGCTTTCTGGAACTAATTTTACATTCCTGTAACTATAGCTGGGATTTTTCATAATTATTAGCATTCATTTTGTAATTTTTATCTATTCCTACTTTTGTAGTTAGTTTTGTGAGTATTCACAGACATTATCTCTATGGCAAAAAAAAAAAAAAAAAAAAATCCCTCTTTTCATTTAGTCTGTTGGGCTAAGCAACCCATCTATGGAGAATTTTATTTTTATAATCAAAATTTCTCCCACTAAATGTACTAATTATGGCAGTATAACTAATGTTTATGGTAATGTAACTTGCTTGTTGCCACAATTAATAACAAAAAGGGTACCTTTATGACCTATCACACACACAGAAAAAAAAAGAAAAAAACACTTGAGATTTATCACAAAAAGAAATTGTCCACTGAAAACCAGTGGGTTCTGCATTTCAGAAAGACAGGAACTTTTTCCATTACATGGCTCAGTCATTATTTAGATCCTGGAGACTTTCAATGGGTCCTCTGAATGTGTCTGACAAAGCAAAGGGAATCTGGAGGCCCTGAAAATAGGTTAGAGTCACGGGAGCACGGAAGAAGAAATAAAGTTTCCAATTAGGAAAAGTCTTTTTTAAAATTTCTTTTAACTTTTATTTTAGATTCATGTACAGGTTTGTTGTACAGGTAAACTCATGTCATGTGGGCTTGGTGTATAAATTATTTTGTCACCCAGGTACTAAGCATAGTACTGAATAGGTACTATGGTACCTATATTTTTTCTGATCCTCACCCTCCTCCTATTCTCCACCCTTGAGTAGGCCCTAGTATCTGTTGATCTCCTCTTTGTATTTATGTGGTGTTATTATTTAGCTTCCACTTATAGGTGAGAATATGTAGTATTTGGTTTTCCATTCCTGCATTAGTTTGCTAAGAATAATGATATCCAGCTACATCCCTGTTGTTACAAATAATATGATTTCACTATTTTAATGGCTGCATACTATTTAATGGTATATAGGTACCATTTAATTTTTATGCAATCTACCATTGATGGGCATTTAGATTGGTTCCATATTTTTGCTATTGTGAAAAGTGCTGCATTGAGCATACATGTGTATGTATCTTTATGACAGAATGATTTATATTTCTTTGGTTATACACCCAATAATGGCATTATTGGGTCAAATGGTAATTTTGTTTTCAGTTCTTTGAGGATTGTCACACTGACTTCCACAAGCCTGAACTAATATATTCAATATACTCCCACCAACAATCTATTAGTTTTCCTTTTTCTCTGCAACCTCGCCAATGTCTGTTATTTTATTTATTTTTTAATAATAGCTCTTCTGACTAGTGTCAGATAGTAACTCATTGTGGTTCTCATTTGCATCATTTCTGACACTGAGGATTTTTCATATGCTTATTGGCCACACGTATGTCTTATTTTTTAAATTATACTTCGAGTTCTGGGATACATGTGTAGAACATGCAGGTTTGTTACATAAGTATACACATGCTACAGTGGTTTGATGTACCCATCAACCTGCCATCTATGTTAGATATTTCTCAGAATCCTATCCCTCCCATAACCTCCCACCCACCAACAGTCCCTGGTGTATGATGTTCCCCTCCCTGTGTCTGTGTATTCTCATTGTTCAATTCCCACTTATGAGTGAGAACATTTGGTATTTGGTTTTCTATTCCTGTGTTACTTTGCTGAGAATGATGATTTCCAGCTTCATCCATGTCCCTGCAAAAGACATGAACTCATTCTTTTTTATGGCTGCATAGTATTCCATGGTGTAAATATGCCACATTTTCTTTATTCAGTCTATCATTGATGGGCATTTAGTTGGTTCCAAGTCTTTGGTATTGTGAACAGTGCTGCAAAAAACATACATGTGCATTTGTCTTTATAGTACAATGATTTGTAATCCTGTGGGTATACACCCAGTAACGGGATTGCTAGGTCAAGTGGTTTTGGTATTTCTGGTTCTAGATCCTTAAGGAATCACCACACTGTCTTCCACAATGGTTGAACTGATTTAAACTCCCATCTACAGTGTAAAAGCGTTCTTATTTCTCCACATCCTCTCCAGCATCTGTTATTTCCTGGCTTTTTAATGATCACCATTCTAACTGGCATAAGACGGTTTTGTGGTTTTGATTTGCATTTCTCTAATGACCAGTGATGAGCTTTTTTTCATATGTTTGTTGGCTGCATAAATGTCTTCTTTTGAGAAGTGTCTGTTCATATCCTTTGCCCACTTTTGGATGGGGTTGTTTTTGCTTGTAAGTTTATTTAAGTTTCCAATAGCTTTTAGATATGACACCTGTTTTGAATGCATAATTTGCAAGTATTTTTCCTATTCTACAGGTTATCTGTTTGCTCTGTTGGTTGTATCTTTCACTGTGCAGAAGCCCTTTAGTTTAATTAGTTATTTCATGTCAAGTTTTGCTTTTGCTGCAATTGCTTTTGGTGTCTTCATCATGAAATCTTTCTATGTCCAAACTGCTATTTCCTAAGCTTTCTTCCAGGGTTCTAATAGTTTTACGTTTTACATTTAAGACTTAAACCCATATTGAGTTGATTATTATGTATTGTATAAGGATAAGTCCAATTTCAATCTTATAATGGATAGCCTGTTATATCAGAACTATTTATTGAATAGGGAACGCATTCCCCATTGCTTATTTTTGTCAGCTATGTTGATGATCAGAGGACTATATCTGTGCATCATTATTTCTGGGCTCTTTTTTTCTGTTCCATTGGTCTATGTGTCTGTTTTTGATTGGTACATGCTGTTTTGGTTACCCTAGCCCTGTAGTATAGCTTGAAGTCAGGTAATGCATTACCTCCAGCTTTGTTCTTTTTTCTTAGTGTTGTCTTGTTTATTTGGGCTCATTTTTAGTTTCATGTGAATTTTAAAATACTTTTTTTCTAGTTCTTCGAAGAATGTTATTGGTAGTTTGATAGGAATAGCATGCAATCTATAAATTGATATGGGTAGTATTGTTACAGGATCCTTGGGGTGTTGCTTTTCCAGCCAGAAACCTCTGTGACCTGCGGTGCCTTTGCCTGAGTTTTGCTCAGGCCTGCTGGACTTGTTCTGCCTACATTGCCTGACAAGTTGTGTTTGCCTCACACTACTGAATTGGATCCCATGCCTGCCAAGGGAGCCAGCAGCAAAGCATTGAGGGATGTGTGAGTAAGCATGGGGTCCAGCCACTGTGCACAGCCACGCACACTGGCTTAGTGGAGCAGGCAGTTCCAAGCATGGACACGGGTGCCAGTGCCCTGTGAAGCTGTAGCTGAAACAGGTGCACTGAAAGCAGCTTCCACAGAGGGCAACAGAGAATGCGCTGGAAGCCTGGAATGCCTGGAAGCTAGAAGATGCCAGGAACTATGGATTTCCAAAGAGTGTGTCACAGCCGTGGCTCCTAGGTCGGGGCCACACACAGCTCTTCTCTCCTTCCTGTTACCCACAATGTGGTGAGCAAGGGGCATGTTTCAGCTTTGTTTGTGTTATAGCTCTTTCAGGTGTGCCATTGGGGGGTTCTCAAGTTCTTGTCCTGTGCCCAGAAAAAATGAGGTATGTGGACAAGTAGAGGGCGAGCAAAGCAAAGAGGTGCTTTATTGCTTTATTAAGTGACAGAACAGCTCAGAGGAGACTCACAGTGAGTAGATCCTCTCTGTAGGCACGTCATGTGAACGAGTGTGCAGAGCTTAGCAGAGAGGAGACCTGCAGTGGGTAACTCCTCTCTGCAGGCAGGTTGTGCCGTTGTCTGCTCAGCTTCTCAGCAGAAGGGAAACCCAGAGTGGGTAAGCTCCTCTCTGCAGGGAGGTCCTCATGTAATCTGCCTGAATCTGGCTGAGTCCAGTATGGCTATTATGGGCTTCAGAGGGGAGGAAGTGCATGCTGATTGATCCATGGACAGCCATGGGAGGACCCAGAAAATGCTCCATAAATTCTCACTCCTGTCTGCTGAACTGGCAGTCTGGCCCCAGGCCTCAAACTGTCTCTGGCCTGAAGGTGGGATTTCGCTGGGATCTACCACTTTCCAACTAGGAGCCTGTCTGCATCCTGCTCCCATTAACCTGCCACGCATGGTGCCAGCAGTGCCCAGGCTGTTCATACTGAGGGGTGTCTGGAGGCCAGTGCTAAGCAACCATTATCCCTCCCTCAACCTCCCACGGCCTCTCTACCATGCTCATCAGTGCCCAAAATCCAGAGCTGGCCGAGGCGGCAGGGGGCTGGTGAGTCGCACTGCCTTGAGTGCATGCACACCTTGCTGGGTTGTGACTGCACCAGGGCTTGGCCACAACTTTGCTCCAGAATCTGAGCGAGCGACAGGAGCAAGGAGGGGCCAGGCAGCGGGAGCAGTCAATTCCAGACCTGTTGGGGTGTGGGGGGGTTCTCAGGCTTCCAAGAGTGCAGAGATGCCCAGGTCCTCAGCAGCAACTGGGCAGCTTCAGCTGTGCCCAGGAGGGCAGGGCTCTTTCTCCCTCCCCCCAACTTGGAAAGAGGTGGGGCTTCTGCCTGTTTCTGGCTCCTGCATACCCTGTGGAGCACACAACTCAAGCTAGCCCTCCCCCAATGTAGCTGGTGTCATGGCAGCAGCTACTGCAGACAGGCCACCACTGTCATCAGTATGGCTATTTTAACAATATCAATTCTTTCTATCCATGAGCATGGGAGGGTTTTCCATTAGTTTGTGTCATCATTGTTTCTCCCTCTCCCTCTTTTTTTTTTTTTTTTTTTCTGAGACAGAATCTCACTCTGTCACCCAGGCTGAGTACAGTCGCATAATATCAGCTCTGCAACCTCTGCCTCCTGTGTTCAAGTGATTCTCCTGCCTCAGCCTTTCAAGTAGCTGGGATTACAGGCACCTGCTACCACACCAGGCTAATTTTTCTATTTTTAGTGGAGACAGCATTTCTCCATGTTTGCCAGACTGGCCTCCAACTCCTGACCTCAGGTGATCTGCCCACCTCGGCCTCCCTAAATGCTGGGATTACAGGCATGAGCCGCTGAGCCCAGCCATCAATATTGATTTATTTGAGCAGCGTTTTGTAATTCTCATTGTAGAGATCTTTCACCTCACTGGTTAGCTGTATTTCTAGATATTTTATTCTTTTTTTGTGACATTTGTGACTGGGATTGTGTTCCTGATTTGGCTATCAGCTTGAATGTTGGTGCATATGAATGCTACTGATTTTTATATATCAATTTTGTATCCTGAAACTTTTTTGAAGTTGTTTATAGCTCAAGGAGTTTAAGGGCAGAAACTATGAGGTTTTCTAGATATAGAATAACGTTATCTGCAAATAGGGATAGCTTGGCTTCCTCTCTTCCTATCTGGATGCTTTTCATAAACAAATTCCCTCTCTTACCTGATTGCTGTGGTCAGGACTTCTAATACTATGTTGAATAGGAGTTGTGAGGGAGGGCATCCTTATCTTGTACTGTTTCAAGGGCAAAACTAGTAAGTGCTGCTCTCATGAAGGGAAGAAAAAGTGGTGAATAAGTAATACATCTTCTACTGGAACATTCAGGTGGGCAGGAGGAGCATTCTGTGTCACATTAGAGAATTTGACATTTTTCTTGGAGATATGAGCCTTTGAAGCATGTTAAGATTTTTAGCCAGCATCATCAGTTGTATAATTTAGAAACATTACTCTGATCAGCTCTGTAAATAATAGATTTTACTTGAATGAAGAGAACTCAGGAGAATGTTGCCAACCAAGTGTTTTGGACCATAAGCATTAATATGGATAAGAAGAGATGTGAGAATATTGAAAAGATAATATTAAGGCAACAACAGGGTCTGGTGATGATTGGGGGTTAGTGTTGAGAGACAATGAAGAGTCAGATAATGCAGACAAGTTTCTAATTTTCCCAGTAGGCTGAATTGTGTAAGTATTGACTAAGTAAGGGACTTTGCAAGAGAAATATTATAAAAGGAAGAATTTGCATATGTTGGAGGATACATGGAGATGCTTATAACTATTTTGGTTTGTGGTTTTGCAGCTCAAGAGGAACACAGGGTGGAAAAAGACACTTAGAAGGTTTTACTTTATTGATCCTATAATTATAAAGAATAAACACAAGCCAAAGGGGACATTTTTTCTTTTTAATCAGATTTAAATTGATTCTGATTATTTATTGAATATACTTATGAATATTTTATCAATAATGTACTTACTGATATTTTAGTTCTGGATTACTTCAAACAGTTAATTTAAGATAAAAACTACTATAGTTAAATTATTATTTTTGGAACACTATAAGGAAAGATACAGTTATTCTAAATGTTCTATGTTAAGATTTTTGTTTCATTCACTTAAAGTTGTCAAAATGAGTAACAAACCAAGTGAACCAATTTCACAGGATATTGATTAATGAAACACACTGCCTGCTTATTCACTTTAAATGGGCAATACTGTCCCATTAACTGGAGTAGATCGTAAGAAACTATCCCAGTTTCTTGGATAGTGGGATTGACTATGTCTACTCAAGGGAAAAAAAAAAAAAAAAGGTAGATCTTATTGTTACCTGGAAAGCGTTGAATGGGACCAAAGGGAGTTTGATGTTCTTTAAGAAATACTTCTATCATACTGTAGTAAGGAGACAAACTGCCCTTTTTCCCTCTAAAGAATCAGATTATTTCTTTTTGAATGATGTTAGAAAATATTTAGGCAAATTTTCACTATATAGCTCTGTTAATAATATTCCTTTAAGGCAACACAATTCTAGCCATTAGAAAAAAATGTCTACTGTTGCAATTACAATGATTTAAATTATGTCTAGTTGTATTTGGTTCATGGTGTAGTATCTTTCTAAAGTTATTTTAGGATAGAACTTAGGAAACATGGTGATTTGGGGGTACATATTTTAGTTTCATAAGCTTTTAACATATTGTGTCCTTACATACATTTCCCAATAAATTTTCTAGAAATGAGTAATGGTAAATTTTTTTCTAACTGTTATATTCATTTACAAAAGTACCATTTCCATTTCTTATCCCTGAAGTGGACAGCATTTCTCTTTGTGGTCCTGTTGTCTTTTTTTAAGTAAACACAGATATTATCTGCTCCTGGTGGTTTTCCTTGCCTCAGACATGAACTTGTGGTTTATAAAACTCCTTTGGCCCTAGTTCATTTCATTAGTTATTTTTTGAAGTTTGGTTTCATAGAATCAACAAAGGATTTAGAACTATTCGATGGCAGGGCTTTTGCTGACAATGAATTCAAAAAAGGGAGAATGCCATGGATAAGAATACTAAAGAAAGCTTTTACAGATAAGTCTGTATTTAAACTGTATCTTGGGAGATTCCTTTAGGTAGAGAGGAGGAAAGGTGTTAATATGCATGTTGGAACTAATGCACATAAACAGTGATACGATTCTATGGATGTCACTGCTTTTTAAACAGTGTATGAGCAGATGTAGGTTTAAACTGAAGTGCCGTTATTGGCAATAAAACAAAAAAATTTAATATTTAAATTAGAGGCAGAATCTGTAAAAGAAATTCCTAAATGTAGAGAGATTTGAGCCAATCTACATCAATGTTATAGTTAAATTCTAAAACCCTATATTCCCAACCCATTTGAATAGCAGATTTATTGCCAAAATGAAGCACAGATTAAATGAATCAAATTTAAAGGAGACTGATAAATTAAGATCTCTGTTTATTAATCTAATGGTAGATCATTAGATGTAAGCAATATAGCCTTATTCTGGTGGTTTTGGGTATTTCTACTAAGAAAAAGAGTCAACAGCTTTATATTACTTTTATTAGTATTTGTGACTTATACAGTGTGCTTCTTCACTTTAAGTTCGAAGATAGAAATTCAATTTTGGAATAGCTTTAATGTACAAACATAATAGATAATAATAGAGCATACACACACACACACACACACACACACACAAGAGATCTATATATATATATATATCTACAGATCTATTGTACAACATGGTGACTATAGTTAATAAAAATATATCCATGAAAATTACTGAATAGATTTTAAAGGTTCTCACCACAAAAATAAATATGTGAGGCAGTACATACTTTATTTAATTAGTTTGATATAGCCATTTCACAATGTGTGTGAAATATATATATATATATATATATATATATTTTTTTTTTTTTAATCTCCACAGCTTTTTGTTAGGACAGTGTGTTTCAGGCTCCTCATGCCCATTTCCTTTCTCATAAATAAAATCAGTTATTTCTCTAAGGGATCTTGGTCATAAAAATGAGAAATTATATTTCTCAAAATTGGAATTTTTGCTCTGTTAATAGAAGTGCTATTGCTATGAGTATTGCGTTTTTTCTAGGCTTCTATAGTGATGAAAAGTACTCTTTTTTGTTACTATTAAGATTTGATTTGTGATAAACTCTTAATATTTTATTCCTTCAAACAAACACATATATATTATCTTACAATTCTGGGGTTCAGAAGTTCTAAAACCAAAATATAGGCAGGGCTGCATCCCTTAATCTTTTTCTTTGACCTTTCTAATTCTATAGTCTGCCTGCATTTGTTGTTTTTTCTTCTTTTCTAAAGAAAGTCTTTTAACATTTCTTTCAAGGCAAGTCTACTGACAACAAATTCCCTTTATTTCTGTCTGAGAAAATATTTCGCCTTTACATTTGAAGGATAATTTTCTAAGACACAACATTTTATGTTATTTTCTTTTCCTCTCCCTCACAAAATTTTATATATTTTATTCCAGTATCTTTTCGCTTGCCTGGTTTCTGAGGAGAAACCAGATTTAATTCTTGTCTTTGCTCTTCTACAGGTAAGTTGCTTTCCCTCTGTTGCTAATAGGTTTATAAAAATTATTTATCATACATCAAAACTGAACTACAAATAGCTTCTAGAGAAATCCTTTATTTTCAATGTTTTCTAAAACTTTCTTGGACGTTCCATTGAATGTTTCTACACACTAAAATATAAGCATTATGAGTTAAAACAGGAGTTTTAGCACAGAAAAATAGAAAATATTGCAGAAAAAAATGTTCAAGAGAAAAGACTGATTTTGCAATCAGTAATAAAATACAACTAGAAAGATTAAAACAGAATCCTTAAAAAAAAAAAAAAGTTAAAATCTAGAGAGTTGTAGAGAAGGAATTGGAGGAAAGTCCAGAAGCTGCAGTGAGAAGGAAGAAACCTACAATACCTGAAGGCCTAGCATTACCAGAAGTCTGAGGACAAAGATCATCCACCACTTGAGAGGCCTATCAGGTGTGTCCTTGGAGAAAGTCAATTTTAAGTTGGAGTGAAAAGGGAAAAGAACTAGCCAGAGTCTGAGGAAAGAAAGGATTTTTCCTATAACAGTCCTTGAGTTTTAGAGCCAAGTATAGGGCTTTGAAACCAAGAAAAGTGTGACGGATCAAGTTAGAATGAGAAGTGCCCTCAGCAGTATGGAGATTAGAATGTGGAAGATGAGGAGTGATCCTAGCCTGGACTTGTGGCTGTGAACAACATAAATAGGAGTTAAGAGTTTAGTCATATTAGTCTCAAGATTGATGGTGATGGTAAAGAATTTGAGGGGGATGAAAAGTGTGTTTACATTGATAGGAGCAAATCTAGGATGTTTTGAAAAGAGTAATTGAAAAGATATCTTGCAGAAAAAAACTTGTCAGGGCTGTATAGCTTGTAAATGGTAACGTGGGACAAAATGCTAGCTCTTCCTTCTCTGGATGTTATTTATAGCCCAAAAAACTTAATTTCAGTTAGTTGCAGGTTGAGCTGGTTCCCTTTCAATTAAATGAAGGAATAAACCCTTATAAAGCAAAAACACATTTCATTCTCTTCCCATGGCTGATTAGCTCAAAAGCATTTGCCCTACTTCCATGCATTATAAATAGGTAACAGTTTATATTTGCACATTTAATGTATAAATTATAATCTAATTATAACATTAAATCTTATTTAAATTTAAGTTGATTACTAAGGAAACTGGTTATCTCCTGGATGTTAATTAGCTGAAAGTACTCATTCAATGATAGATGAAATGCCTATACAAATACCTTGAACTGCAAATTTTACTTATCTGAGAATCTTTTGCCAGTAGCGGAGAATGATGCAATTTATGATTAACTTGTCCTCTAAGACTTTCACAATCTATGTATAAGTTATGCATCTATCAAATTAGGATGTACTTACTGTTTTAATATTTTATTGCCTATTTTGCAGCAATTACATTGTTTTTTAGATAAATAAAACTAGTCATATAAATTATATTTATAAAATTTATACATTGTTTAAATATCAAGATTATACCTGTTTATGGTAGGCAGAATTCTAAATTGGTCCTCGATATTTATGCCTGCTCATTGTAAACACTGGATAGTCTCCCACTCCTTTGTATGTGGGCCTAAACTGTGGAAATAATGAAGGACCACTCCTGGGATTTGGTTACGTTAGATAGCAGTTGATTCACAGAGAAAGTGAGAGAGATTATTATTGGTGGTCATAGATTATTATGTGAAACTTAAAAAGAGATTAGAAGTATGAGACTAATTTGACAAGAGGTAAAATCTCTGTTACTGACTTTGAAGATGAAGAGGGTGAGGCGGGAATGAATGAGAGTCACATCTGCAGCCTTATAGCTCTTAGCAGATAGCTGGCAAGGAAGAAGAACTTCAGTCTCAGAAGCACAGGGAAGTAATTTCTCAACAACCACATATGAGCTAGGAAGAGGATCTTGAGCTTGAGATGAGAAAACTTCCTGTCCTAACACCAAGACTTTGTCCTTATGAGGTGCTAAGAAA